TTCCTGTTGATATCCAATTACAGAAGCATGCCATAGAATCAGGGCCATTTGATTGGCTTGATGGTCTGCCGCTAATTTGCTTATGTGGTTCAGAGGGAAAGTGTGTAATTAATCCAAATTCAACAATGCAGAGCACAAAACAAGTGCATCCCTGTGCATCAGGATGAAATACAAGACATTTCTGTGTTCACAAACAACCACAGTCTTTAGACTGAACCTAAAGCTGGATTACAGCAGAGGAGTGGCCTATTACACTAAAGTCATTTCAAGAGGTCATTTCCTAAATGGATTTCTTTACAATTCAAGATACAAGATACAAAAGAACAAGCAATGCCAACCATAGTCGGGGGTTTGCATCTTTAAAAGTGAAGGGTCTGTGCAGTGAATAGTCGTTGACCGATTTTGTTGTAGATTTCAGAAAGTGACACGTGTTTTTAAAAGAGGATGGGGTACAGTTTTTCAGAAGTGACATCATTCAGTTGCATTATTCTTTATAACCATATATATTTTACACTAAGCACTAATGGTTTTAGATTCAATTTGCTGTCATTTAGGATACGAGAAACGTTTTAACATTTAGAAAAGACGATGGTGACAGGAAATTTAGTGCTCTAAACCAACTTTTTCACCTCCTTCCCAAAAGGTGGGTAAGAGTTAACATTGTTCCACAGCAGCCACACTGACAAGGCTGCCTGCAGATGTGTCTCAGCAGACAGCTTTTGTTTATCGGTCTGGTGAGTGCAGGTATTGGCCGATGCAGATAATCAAAAAGTGCCAGATATTGGTCCGATCACTTAACAGAGACTGGAATATTTCATCTAGGCAAAAACTAGGCAAATGAGGTATAGCACAACTTCTGCATATTGTATTTTAAGAATAAACAATACATTTCACATGATAATGGATTTTTTTTGGTTGTGCAGAAATACAAAAATAATCTGTATATTTTTTAAAGATAATTCTTCACATGGTCCACTAACGTCAGGCACATTTTGTGGCCTTCATCAGTAGATGTAATTTGCTTAGTTGTCATGGAGATGTGAATAAACAAACAGCTCTGTGGTCAAATTTTCCCCCAATTATGTGAGGCGTAAATGAGAGACTATTTTATACTTTGCCTACTTTTATTGTCACAGAAATCATTGCCACCATAGTGAAAGGGACAAGCATACAGGCTCTCGAACAAGAGGAAAGAAAAAGGTAGTGGTGGATGTGCAGGAGGACAACAGCTGATAATAGATAACTTAAAATATCAGCAGTCACCATTATGTTAGTTAAGGTCAAGTTATTTCTCTCTGTTTTCTCTGTTCATAAAGAGCTCTGAAGTTGGAGCTGTATTTCTACTTCAGATGGTTATTTTAATGGCTTCTTTCTGTCTGTAATTCAGCTTTTCCTTCTTGGATGTTTAAAGACAAAGTAACATTTCCCCCCTTCAGCTACTTACTCAGTTTAGTTCAGTTTAAAAAAATATATCAATATAGTTGTTTTATTTTGTCCCTAGGTAAAGAATAAACCTTCGAGCTCAGTGGTAATGCACTTCTTAAAGCACACCCATAGTCCACCTGCACAGGTGCTTTCACTTATGTTGCCAGACTAGACTTCCTCTCAGGGCCACGTGGTTGTGCGGAGTGTGTGCTTGATTGACAGCTCCCTCACTTCCGATATGTTTTGCTATAACTGTTAGGTTGGGACAATTTACACCATTATCATATGCCTTTGTCACTGAGGACATTCTGACATGTCACAGTAGGAAAATCACAGGTGTAAATAACGAAGACAAAATGAATGATGAATCCTATGTTTCAGGGTCCTGGTATTGTTCATGCTGGCTCAGCGTCACACCATGCTGGTTTACTGGGACACTTGAAAAACATGGAGCCATTTTTGATGTTATTACCCACCTTTAATCAGTCAGGATTTCTTTTGAAAACACCTGTGTGTGCCAGGTCTTTAAAGGATCAAGGGTATCAGCACATGAACTAGAGTTTAGAGTCTACAGGAAGCACACGTGACGTGTCAATATAGCAAAGAGATGCAGTAATATGTGTGAGGCTGCACTAATATTCACAGAGGCTCTGTCTATGGTCCATCAGGGTGGGTCTGTTGGTATTCTTATTGAGTGGAACTGTGACCTGGATAAGGACTCCTCCCAGTGTAATCCACGCTACAGCTTTACCCGTTTGGACATGAACTTGAACAGCTCGGTCACATCAGGATACAACTTCAGGTATATCTTTCAGGCATATGAAAAGAAATAAATCTGCAAGCCCACCGCCTCCACTCTGTCCTCTTGTGTCTTTTACACCTTATATGAGATGATTTTTCCCTCATACAGACATGCCAGGTATTATAAGGATCAAAATGGGGAAACCTATCGCACTTTGTACAAAGTGTATGGGATTCGCTTCGATATAATGATCAATGGCCAGGTACAGCATTGATATGAGCAGTTTATTTCCAAGGGAAGTACGTGATTCTGGTAATAGACTTGCACTGAATGTCTGTTATTGTTTTACAGGCTGGGAAATTCAGTATTGTTCCAACAATAATTGCCATTGGTTCGGGCGTTGCCCTTCTGGGTGCAGTGAGTAATTTACTAAAATATTATGTTGATCTGTCAGTGGTGTTATTACTGAGACATCATAAGTCTGAAAAATATCATTTTACCATGCCACTAGATGGTGATAATCAAATAAGGATTCTCTGCAGCTTGTGAAAATCCAGTTGATTTTTTTCTTTTTCTTTCAGGGAGCCTTTGCATGTGATATGATACTACTGTACTTGATGAATACAAGCTCCTTCTACAGAGAGAGGAAGTTTGAAATCATCAACTTCAAGTATGACTAGCTGTGTATCCACAGCCATTAATGATGAAGCCTTTTTAAATCAACCATTTTTCACATCATCGTTGCATTTATCGGCACATTTATCTCATACTGTGTGTGCTAGGAAAGACCAAACCAAACCCAAGGATGGGAAGGCGGGACACCGGGAAAGGAGATCCAGGAAACCAGCTGCAGAAAAAGGGGCTGCCAACTCCATTAAAAACCCAGAAGAGACTGACCCCACTATGGGGTCTTCTGCCACTGCAGAGAGCCAGCTGCCTGTGGGCAAACGGGGTCCCACCATTCCACGCAACACAGGACAGCGATACTCTGCCATTCATGCTCCCCAAGGTGCAGAGCCACGGCATATCACTTTCTCCACGCACAATTAGGTTTGCAGGCAGAGCAAGACACATCACCTCTAGTGGTCTCGGTTATGTTGCAAGAGGTTGAACCAAAAGTTGGACTGATGTCCACTTCTCACCTGCTGGCATGGCTGCTGGCATGCCACTAGCTTGCGTGATGCTTGCCCTGACTTAAGACGTGTTGGTCCAGAGAAATATTACATAGCTAAGTTCTGCACTGTGCAAGAGAGCCAGGATGCTGATATGAAATACACAGGAAGGTGGTTTTCAGTGGCTGGGTCAGAATCCAAAGGTAGTATATGGGAGATTACAAGAGGTCCATAAATAATAATTCTAGACATTGGTGTTACAATTGACCTACATTTTCTTGCAATGTTAACAAAATTGAAAAAATAATTTGTGTATCCATCCTGTGATTCTAATCAACTCCAATGGCTTCTTCCTTGGTTGGCCTATTCAGCTGTAATCAGAAACATGCCCTCCTTGGTAGAGGATGCAAAAGTACTGTGATAATGCTGCGGCAGAGTGATATAAAATGGTTCATCTAAGACTTTTAGGGAATTACCAAACATTTGCCGGTTACTAGTTTACAAATGCAAATAATTGTCTCTGTAGTTTTCAGCAGTTGGTCAGACTAACTGAGCATCATTTCCCATTCGAGTAATATGAGCTTTAGTCTTTATTTTTTGTCATTTTCAAAGTCCTAAGTTATAAAAATCACAGCAAAAAATTGTAGATATGATAGGTTAATTGAAAAAAAAAAAAGAAAAAGAAAAACAAAGCAGCCCTTCAAATTATGCCAAATGTTCATGATGTTCACCTCCAATATAAACTTCCATTAGGTCAAATAAACATTGTAAACCATTAAATAAAACTTAAATTCTTTCAGCTAAATCAGTCTGCAAAATACCTTCTAATTTCAATGTCAGTCATGAGAGAAACGATTTTGTAAGCATGGATTCAAACAATGTGTTAAAAAACTGCACTTGGAAGCAGTATGTACGAAAATGTGTGGACAGTCTTAACTGTTGGGATTTCAGCTGGATGCATCATGTACCTGGTGTTGTGAGTGTACAGTTAAACACTGCCGATATGTGTCCTCCTTTATGTTGAGCTGGCTGTGCTCAACATAAAGGAGGCCATGCAAAAACAATGTAATGTATCTGTGAAGCTGTGGAATGCAGTCGTGATGTACTACGAGTCTACTGAGTGGACAAGTTCACTGCTGACGTACTGGCTGTTCGTTCATGAATGAATGAAGACGTTGGAAGTGCACGGACTCCTGTTTGTTCTTCCTGTTTCTATTTATTGAATGGTCTTTATTGTTGAAACAAATGTACTTGTCATTTTGATTTCACAATGTCAACTGCCTAAAAAACTGATTAATAATGTATACAAACAAGTTGTACAGTTATTTATTCCAATCAGTAATCGGATTTGTTATAATTTAACCATAGTATTGTACATGAAATGTAATGCCAAGGGCATACACACCTTGTTAGGATTACATCTGTTTTTATCTATTACACTACAACCTACTTGATCATAACTGCTCTTATCCTGGTATGCATGACACCGAGCACAGCGCAGGAGATTCAGGTTTAATAAGTTTATAGTCACTAGTGTGGAGCAGGAAGGGTAAAAGGACAGTTTATTCTGCATACTATAATTATTGACACATCGCCTGTTTAACAATTCAAAACAGAAAAATCTAACGGCTTTCACTAATCGCTTATCTACAAACAGCAGGGCAGACAATATTATTGGTTTACGTAGCATTAGAGAGGATTAAAGAGGATTAATTTAGGGATATTTGTGATAGTTCAATTTAATACACATGCACCATTCCGTAGAGGAAAGTCCAGAACAGGACGTAAGTGAAGAGACCTCCGACAAGGCCCCCAGTGAAGAGCAGCCGCCGCGATTTAAAGCATTTGTTCCACCTCCGTCCGGCCTTGAGAATGAGCAGCAGGGACAGGAGAAACGCAGACAGGAAATAAAAAACAAAGCCATACAGTCCAGTCAGCCCGAGGATGCCAGCTGTAGCTCCGGGACAGAGCGGATACAGAGGTGCGGCAGTAGTCCAGCACGGCAGCGTTGCCCCTCACAGCTACTTCACTGATGAATTGTGGTCCCTCACGCTTGGCTACAACGCTTGCCATCTCGGCTCTGGTCAGCTATCACAGATGGGTGCTGCTGTTTCAGGAGAGATTCAGATATGCTTACAATACAAAATAACTACATTTACTCAAATTCACTAGTACAGTTTTGAAACACTTAATTTTATGCTACTTAATACTTCACTACAATTAGGAGGCACATATCGTAGTTTAAACTCTCCATTTATTTCACAGCTATGGAGACTATTTACTTGACTAGATTTTATTGTCAAAATCTGTGAGATACTAAATAAAACTTTTAATATTGACATTTGGTGATACCACTTCAGTATTAAACTTTATTATACTGAAAATTGGAGTATTTACATTATCCTATTGCTTAGTCCACTACTAGTAAGCAAGTTCATTACTAAATTAGAAAAGCAAGTTTGTACCGGTGTTCCTAACCCTAACAACTGCTAAGTAGCACATATCGTCAGAACACCGACCTTACAGTGTCAGTGGGTCTAAGGTTAACGTAATACATTTATTAGACATTTCAACAGATTAACCACAACGAGAAGAAAAAGGGCAAATCCCCAAATCGACTGAGGTCTCGATACATTAAAGCCCCCTAGTCTGAGTGACAAAGACAAAAAGAAAAGCTGTCAGTCAGCCTTGGTCCACGTTAGCTTAGCTACTGCAGCAGCTAATATACTTAAAGCCTTGCTCTGGGGACAAAGACAGCGCTATAAAACACCAAAAACGAGATCAAACGGCCAAGACTCTAGTCAGTAGAGGCTCATTACTTAAGTAAATACAATGCAATGCCGTACGCTTAACTGCGAATTAAACTGCTTTATCTTATTTTTTTCACCGATGGGACTAACAGGCTAGCATTATCAGCTAGCTCTCCAGGCTAACGGTCAACTGATGACAGATTCTCACCGGAAATATAAACGCAGGGACTCGTCGGCTCCTCACAGCGTGATTATAAAAACATAACCTGCAACAGAAACTTTACAGACTTGAATATGAGACTGTCTTGAATTAAAAAGGTCAGCTGTTGTGACACCGAAACAGCACATTCATTCGCGTTTGGGTGACACTCCTAGACAAGTCAGCCATGCTCCTTCGCAGTGCACTGTGGGAAAAACGCATTCATCAAACGGGGACGACGACATGGTGCTTTCTAGGTATATTAAAGAGTAGGAAATGACATCTTCATAATGAGGAAGAAGGCAATTCCCTCCTTCTACGTTAACGTGTCACCCTCTTGAGAGGCTACATTGCAAGATACAGGTAAATTGGTTCTTTTCAAATTTCCAGCTTCACCGAATAAACAACATAAAGTTTCAAAACTGCGCCCAACAGAGCAAAGCTTGTTCCACTGGAGATGATGGGGAAATATATTTTCCAGTTTAAAAACAAAAAAAGCCAGGCAAACAATTTTAAATACTGTTACTACTGCAATTTTTACATTTTATGTTTGTATTTATCTTAACACACAAAGCCACAATTGATGTAGGCTATTTAAGTTTCTAATGCTTTGTATCCATTCAAGTGGTTTGGAAATGCTTAAACATACGGATATGTAAATATGCACATAGCCAATATGTACATCACTTTGTTCACTTGTAAGCACATTGCAAAATTAGCACCAGTCACCAGCTGGTAAAATAAGCAAATGGTTGGTAGATTTGCTTCTCTCTCCAGCCAAAAAACAATGGTAATCTATTGAGTAGATTGTACACTTTGAGCATTCACTAGCCATTTGTCTGGTGGACAGTAATGTTGATTTTGCACCCTGCTTGTAAGACCTCCATGACATACAGTATCGGTGTCATGGGGAACAACATTTTAGTCTGAGCAACATAAGTTTTCTTCATGTATTCTTTCTCCCTTAATCTAGACCCCACACACCAATAAACAGCAGATAAAAGAGCAGGCCCATACAGGCGATAAACCCTTCTCAAATTGACATTTTGTGAATAATGAATGAGTAATGACTACAGTCCATTCCCGTTTGCCATGGCAGTGAACCAGGGCAGAACCTGCCCCCTGCCCGCCTGGACTACTTGAACAATTTACATTGTTACACCATTGTTGAGAAGTCGGAATATACACAGTGGAAATTTAATTAGATATAATGTTTGAAACAACTTTTGGAATAAGATTGGCCTTAACTAATTAGTTGATTTTAGTAATCAACTAATTAATTCGGCGCAATTACATTTCGCTGAAGTTGAAACGTCCGAGTTCGTACTTCGACGTAAACGCAGCAGGGTTAACTTTGTCGGTACAGTCCATGGCAGCTGAGTCGCAAAGCACACAGGGCCATCAGGAGCAATGTCTACCTATATCCTGGGTGTAGACGTGGGCACCACTTCTGTAAAAGCTGTTTTATTAAAAACTGGCTCCAGAGAGGTGGCTGCGAGTCACGCTTTGCCAACTACGTCTGATATAATCGACAGTAGCGGGATAAAGGTGAGTGCGCTCACGTGCCAAACAACTATACTATGCAGCTCAGCAATGTGTGTTTGTCTGTTCTGTGTGTAACCTGGCTATGTTCCTATGCCCTGCAGGCGAAAGAGCAGGATACTGGACGGATCATAGATACTCTGAACCGGTGCATCCGCCTGCTGCCCAGAGACAAACTGCAGCATGTCAGCAGCATCGGGCTGACAGGACAGATGCACGGGGTTTTATTCTGGAAAGCAAAGAGCGGTAAGACTTTTACTGCCCGCCTACATCCACTCACGGTGTGGCATTTTATAACTTTTGTAACAACGGCTGTGATACATTGAGTAGTTTGAGCTAAAAAGAAACTGATTTCTTCATTCGTTGATTTATTTGAAGTGTAAAAAAAATCAGAGAGGAAACAGCAAGAGAGAGAGAGTAAAGACTTATTTCCAGAGCATGTTGGTGTGATGGTTTGGCCCCCAAAATGAACATGTGCAAAACATTTTTAATTCCAGCCACAATATGTGCTTATGCAGGTGAAGTTAAAAAACCCAAACAAATAAAAAATGACTAAGAGGCTCTTTAATTGTATGATCCCTTGTACCAATATAAGGGCTCGACATCACACTCTCAGAGATAAGGGTTCCTATTTTTATATAGGATTTAATGATGATAAAATTGTGTGTGCTATTATAATAGGATTTGGTTTTTGTGCTATTCGTGGATTAGAAAATGAAACAACTGCATTGTTCAGAATGTAATTGCAGATCTTCAACTTGCAACATACATCCGCTCTTGTAGCAGAGCTGGGGACTGCAGACAGACAACAGTCTCAATGTGAACATGCATTATGAAGCTTAAAATTCCACATAAGGGTAGAGTATTTATCATGAACTATTTCATCCATGAACTTTTGGAACTCATATGTTGTTCAGAAAGCAAAATGTTATGTACTTTTTATTATAACAGATCAGTTAATATACTGTGATTCTCCTAGTTAAAGGGTAATTTTGGTATTTTTAAACCTGGGCCCCATTTTCACATATTTTGGAATCAAAATGACCAGTAGATACAAAACGTTTTGGTATCCATACAGAAGATGGCTTCAGCCAGGGCTGGACTGGGACAAAGAATCGGCCCTGGCATTTTTGGCCCAGGCAGCCCATCAAAATCGGTCGGACACCCCTCACCCATACACCATCCTTCCATTTAAGGGCTCAGATTAGGGGTGTGATGAAACACTTAGCCCATGAGATGTAAGATTGCACAAGATTGGGGCCATGACAACAAGACAAGAATATATTTTAATTGGCCGATTATTTAAAAAAATAATGTATTGATGAAATAGTTGAGGGGGGTCTGGTGGTCCTCCCCCAGAAGATTTTGAGCATTAAACACTTAATTTCCTGCATTCTGGAGACATTTTCTGCACCAAGGAAGCACAAAATTCAGGTGGCAGGTGACAATTCAGACAATAAAAATATAATAAAAAAGTAAAAAGAAACAGTGAGCATTGGTGGGGGCCTGTAAGAGATGTGATTGGGCCGGCATAATGTCAGTATAGAAATTTACCATAGATATAAATACACAATTTACGTTACATCGGCCCAAAAGGTGCGTCGGCCCACTGGGCATTTGCCCGGTATGCCAGATTACTAGTCCAGCCCTAGCTTCAGCCGGCTGCAGTGGCTGCAACATATTTCTTTTCTGAAATGATCACCCTTGTCTTTGAGACTAGACTAGTGTCACAGGTTTTAATCATAATTCACAGTTTGATTTGGACAACAGTTCCCATAATGTTTAACCAGAGCACAGGCTTTAGAAAAACATTAACTACTAATGGCCATGGGGATTTGAAAGAAGCCTTTCAAAGAAGAGAGCGATGTTTTCAGACTGTTGGATTACATTGATTACCCAGTCTGTAGCACTGATGACCTTTTTAAGATACTTCATAAATGGATTGAGGAGCTGGGCAGTTCGATGTGCACTTATATCAGGAGGTTTTCTGCTACAAACTCCTTCTAAACAGAAATGTGGTGGGCCCATTGTACCTCTTTCATAACTATGTTGCCCTCTGCTGGTTGCATCCAATACTTGAGATGAAAATGGTTGGAAGAAAATCTATGCGTTTGCTGTTTTTGTATCCAAACAAAACCACTGAGTCACATATAACTTATTTTGTCTGCTGTCTTTTGTCTCTTGACCCCTCGCAGGTTGTGATTGGTCCAACAGAGACTTCTTCACAGCCAGGGATACCAGTCAGCTGATCACCTGGCAGGATGGGCGCTGCAGCTGTAACTTCCTGTCGTCTCTTCCAAAACCAGACTCACATATCAGTGTAGCCACAGGATTTGGTTGTGCAACAATCTTTTGGTGCATGAAACACAGGTCAGCAGCATACACTTTAAGAACCTAATGCAGAGCCTACTGCACTACATGATTTTGTGATATGTGAAAGTGAACTCTATAGATGTGTGGTTTCACTGCAGGCCCGAGTTCCTTAAGGACTTCACAGTTGCAGGTACCATCCAGGACTATGTGGTGTCCATGCTGTGTGGTTTGGACAGTTGTGTTATGACGCCTCAAAACGCAGCCAGCTGGGGCTTCTTCAACACTTCTTCCAACCAGTGGAATATAGACATGTATGTGATGTTCAGAACGTCCTGATTTAATAACACCTCATTTCTGTGCTAAAGTTGGCAGAGCATTTTCTTGATTAGTTCAAGTACTAAATGCATGAGAAATGTTCTGTTGTTTGTGCATGCTAGGTGTTTAAACTGAAATCACTAAACACTTACAATGTCAGAGTTGTTATGCGTAACCTACATAACAAGCAACTGTGTGTGTGCATGCTCTAGTCTGAAGGGTGCCGGCTTCCCTTTCCACCTGCTTCCTCAGTGTGTGCCATCTGGTGGCTTGGCAGGACAGACGTGCTCCGACTGGCACGGTATCCCTGCTGGTACGCCAGTAGGGGCTGCCATGGGAGACTTCCAGTGCTCCGTCTACTCCTGCATGAGTGCGCGGACAGATGCAGGTGAAACAGGAAGTCCAGTCGTCTCTCTCCGGCTAGGATTACACTTAATGCAGTGAATGCATTACTCTTTCACAGTTCATGCACTTCGGATGAAAGCATCCATTACTGCTATACCATGACAGGTTCCATCCATTAGATTTTTTCTACTATTGCTTCAGTTTACCAGGGTTAACTCTTTTTTTTATATATATCTCTTTGCGGACCTTATCATCCGCATATGTAATTTGGAAGATGCCTTTTACAGAGTCTTGCCCAAGGACACTTTGGACAGGAGATGGGGACCACGTACCACCTGAGCTGCAGCTGCCCCGTTTAGAGATTTTAAATCCTGTATTTTTAAAACAATCAGGGTAATCTTAAATGAAAATACAGAGGGCGGAAGTGGGTGGCTTCAGGTGTCACCCACTAAGCACGCACAGCTTGGCAGTTCTTAGGGCACAGAAACAAAAGAGAAGCACAAGCTTGTTAGTTAGATAAATGCAGTCAATATTAGATCGTTTGCAGTGTGTTAGTTGAGTTCTCCTCAGAACATGGACTATATGTACTGATGTCATTTAGACTGAGACCGACCCACCTGCAGTAAAGTGTTAACAGCTCTGAGGCCTGAATTATGGAGGGATAAATGCTAACTTAAAGTAGAAGCGAAAAAATGATAGATTGAAAGGCCTCAACTGAGTCAAACTGTCTGACATCAGTAGGAAGATTATTTCAGAGAAATGAGACATGATAGGAAAAGGTCTTGCAGCCAACCGACTTCTTTTAGAGATAAAGAGAATGACATAATCTGATTTTTTTGTTCCACCACACCACAAACAATACCCTGCATATTGTACTCTCAAGTTTTTGTAATGAAAACATTTGATCAAAAATCTGTAATATGATATGAGATAATTTCATTTATGCTGCATTTTTTGTAAAAATACCAAGTTAAAAAGAACAATATTAAAACAGCAAAGTTATATATATTTAAATAAGTAAACAATACCCTACAGCAAGGTATACAGCAGTAAATACCCATGTCTTAGTTTGTTCTCATTATGTTTATGAACACAAAGAAAACAACACCTTAGAGGACAGTTTGTATCTTTCTCCTATTTTTGCAGTTCTTAACATAAGTACCTCAGCCCAGCTGACCTTTGCCATGCCGGCTGACTTCCAACCTCCAGATTCTCCTGAGCCTGCCTCCTCCATCTCCTACTTCCCCTACTTTGACAACTCGTACTTGGCGGTGGCTGCTTCACTCAATGGAGGGAATGTACTGGCCACTTTTGTGGAGATGCTCTCTGCCTGGATGAAGGAGCTTGGTACGTATTTTTTCATGACTTTATGCGGCACCGTGTTGTAGAATGGGAAAAATGAAATGTACCCTGTATAGACATTCATAGTTGACAGATGATGAATGCTAATTACTTTGGTGATATTTTTGGTGATGACCCTGATATTTCCTTTAATTCCACCATGAGGTTCACATTCGTCATTTTGTGTGAAATTTCTCAACAGCTACTGGATTGACTGCCATGAAATGTTGTACAGGCTAATTTTGGTGATTACCTGAGTTTTTGTGTTCTGTCATCAAGTCAAAAATTCACTTTATGACCAAACACCTGCAAAACTAATGACCTTCCCATCAGCCTTTGCTGTACTTTGTGTTTAGTGCTATTTAGATAATGTTAGCATGCTAAAACTATGACGGTGAACATGGTAAACATTATACCTGCCAAACATCAGCATGTTAGCATTGTCATTGTGAGCAAGTTAGCGTGCTGATGTTGGTTAGCATGGCTGTAGACTATAAGTCTTGTTCAAGCTTTAGTTCTGGAAATAACCACTCAAGAACTGAATCAGCCTGGTTATATATGTACTGGACCAATCAGCACAAATTATAATGATAAAGGCCGCCTCTCAAACGATTAAAGCAGGCATTTGTAGATGCAAAATTACTGTAATCTGTAAAAATTTAGTGAATATTAAAAGAAAATTTACACTTGCAGGTCACCCGCTAATCTGTTTCTAGTTTAAAATTGACAGCTCAGAGAGGGCAGTGTTTATTTGAGTAGTAGTACTGAAGCCAAAATGACTCGTAGGCCATTAAATGTGTTTCATCCAGATGTTAAATTCCTCCTCCTTATCCCTCACAGGTGCGGAGCTGAGTGATTCGTGCTTATATGAGAAGCTGATTCATTGCGCCCTGAATCAGGAAACGAGTGACCTGAGTGTGAGTCCGACCATCCTGGGAGAGAGACACAACCCTCTTTGCCTGGGTCAAGTGACCAACATCTCCACTACCAATCTCTCTCTGGGTCACATGACCAGGGCACTGTGCCGCGGAATCTTGGACAACATCACCTCCATGATGCCCGCTGAGCGTCTGCAGCAGGCGGGGGTCAGCAGGATTGTGGCCAGTGGGAGCGCCATCGCCCGCAATGAGGTGCTAAGGCAGGAGGTGGAGAAGGCGTTCCCTCAGCCGGTGGTATACGGACAAAACGCGGACTCAGCTGCCGGCGTGGCCATGGTCCTCTGCGACCTACTTTGAATGAGAGTCGTGATCCACAGGGGAATCCCCTGTCTGTTTACATGATTAATTGAGAGTGTTCTGAGCACCTTATCGAACAGTATCGCTTTGTTTAAAGATGGAACAATCAGGCAAACTACATGCTACAACATATTTTGCTCTGTGTAATTTAAAGGAAAAGCTGTGTTTGCCAGGACAGGGATCAAAAGCCTTACGTATCCTCTGACTTACTATGTGCAATAAGGTTTTGAAACTTTTTGGACCAAATGATCACAGCTATCAAATCCTTCAAACATTTAATTTGACATTTAACATCTATTAGCAATATGCCAGGCATTTCTGGGTCTGTTTTGTTGTTTTTAGCAGTGTGCATTTTTAGACTTATAAATTATGCCACACTAGATTTTTGGCCTTTATGCCTAAAGTTTTCCTAAAGCTGCCTTTTTGCAAAGATGCTCATCATTTATCAGAAATAAATTTCTCGTCTGACCGCAGTATACAGTACAACAACAAAATTAGCTGTAGACTTAAAAACCCCAGATTTGCAATTGCTTAGCTTTACAGTTGGTTCTGCGCCAACTCAGATCCTGATGAATCAGTTCTTGCTCATTTCCTGTGTGTTGCTGAAAGGCATCATTTGAAATCTATTAAGGGGAGAGAAATCGCAGCGCTGCTGGAACACTTCTGATCCATAACAGGATCTCTGTATTTGAGGGTGGACAGTGTCTTTAAGTGAAACCACAGATACTGCATGATGGTTTATCAGCAAGGCCAGTGATATGAGGTGTTGCAACTATTAGCATGTTAGAAAAATGCCTTTTCCTCTGGTATTATGTAATTTTCTTTAACTTCCATCTGTCTCGCGGTTTTTATGTCGTTGCATTTAAGGAGGTCTCCTCTGAGTTTGGTGTTTCCATCTCAGCTCTCTCCTCTTCATGTCACTTCTACAGTCTCGAGTTGCTTAAGGTGTCAAATTGAGTTGTGTGTGTGTGTGTGTGAGCATTTGTATCTGATGGATCTGTTGTGTTGCACATGTTCAGGGGCCTGTATCACAAAGGGAGTCCAACTTAGTTTTTAAATGCTTTTTGAAAATAACTATGTTCAGTATGTAGTAACATTTAAATAGTATTACACCTAAAAACAGTGAAGTTTTTGCTGCCAAAGCATTGAGGGAAAGTGCAGATAGTGTCCAAAAAGAGCCTTGAAGTAAAGGTGTAGCTGAACCAAATGTGGCATTTCTAAAATAATGAGCTAATTAACAGAGTTTGTGTATTTTCTTTTAATAAAAAAAGTCAGTTATTTTACTTTTAACTTCCACTTATCATCTACTTGGGTCTAAAAAGATGAAATACCCCCAACTCACCACATTATCCTGAGCTGCAGAGATGGAGTAAGACACTGACTCTGTCACGGCTCCTGTGGGGAATGAAAGAGAAACTTAATAATGCAGTTAATATACATCTATAACCACCATCCATTAGTCTGCTGGAGCGTCATATGTTTGTTAGAAGCCTTGTTTTACATTATTTCTCGAATGCTTAAACACATTTCTTGAAATGATGCCTCTTTTTCTCAAAACTCAACACAAATCCACAACTTCTCACCCAATTCCCCAAACATAACATTTTCAGGTCAAAATGAAGCTCTTCACTCAAAACCCACAGTATTACACACTGGGGAGATAAATTCAAAATAATACAACAATAACTAATTTTGCTTGTGGTTCTTCCCCTCAAAAAACCTTTCACATGATGAACACTACAAAACAAATTACAAATGTATACATTTGCACATTTTTTGTTCCTTACTGTGCTGTACAGTAAATCACACCAAAAAATGAATTATTCTGCCCCAGCGTCTTGTCTTTGGTCTGGGACAGGCCAGAGATTCTCATCCTCCAGCTCCTCCTCCACCCTACTCCTGCTCCGCCCGCTCCTCCTCATCTTCGTGCTATCCCATCTCCTCCTCCAACTCCCACTGTTCCTCTTCCTTCAACTCTTATTCCTCTCCATACTGCTCCTCCTCATCCTCTCTGGTGTCCTCTACCTCTTTCTTCAGATTTCTCTGGATCCGTTCAAAAACTGAGTTAATTCAGTTCCAAAACTGAATGATGATAATGAGCAAATACAGGATTGTTTCTACCAGCAGCTGCAGCATCTACAGCTGTAACTGAAAAATGCACATGGCTGTTATTATTATTGCCAGTCATACATTATTTATTTCATTACTATTATTATTGAAATTACTACAGTTATATGCAGTTATTTCCCTCTCAGTGGGGCAGTAATTCACACCTGATGTGATTATGGTACAAATAAAACAGTATCAACAATTCATTTTAGTCTCAAATCATTTTAAATGACACTGAATTTTAATATTGATATGTTATCTTGCTTCTTGAGTGGGTCACCAGGATTATATTCTGGTGCACTTATTCCTGTTTGAATGGAAAGCTCTATCTTTGCATACATAGACACGCTCAAAAAAAGTCCAGATAGACATTGGGAATGAAGCTCCAGGCTGTATGATGTCAGACACAGTTTTGGTTGGTCTTGTGTCCTTTCGGGTCACATTTAAGATACTTGAACCATGCAATGCCAACAGCACTCATCTCACTATGTGAAGGCCAGTGTGCCACTGTTGATCTGTGAAAAAAAGGAAGTGATCTTGATGTAGGAAATCGTCACATAAAAGCACATCTACAGCTCACACTGTAGGCAGAAGCTCTGCAACCACACGCTCAGTCACAGGGCTACAGCTGTACTGAAAACACACGACTTAAGCGAAACTACGAAGAGGCAGATGAGACACACAGGAAGCACATAAGCAGCTAAAAATGGACTAAGTAATGGAGACGCGCCTAAGAAATATACTCAAGTGACAGAAAAGCCTGGGTAAGAAAAGTAGCCTTTCAGAAGGGTAAGTTATTTATTTATGATCTGTTAAGTGACATTATGAGATTTTATATTTTAAGCTTTCTTGGTTCATCTGCTCTGTAGCTCCTCTGTGATGAACTTATCACGATGCATTCCTTTGTGGTATTATTTTTTTTACTGTCTTTGCATGAGCAGAGATGGTCAAGCACACTTAGAGCATCCTTTTAAGCACTCAAGGTCTGCTCTGATATTCTCTAGGGTGTGTCACTGTATCTCCTTCTGGCTTTTTCCTGCTTATCTCACCACACTTACATTAAGCAAGCATGTTAGGACGCACAATAGAACTCAAGCACCTGGATCACTGCAGGACATTTCCACTGTGTACTGTTGTTTTCTTTTTGACTTGAAGATTCACAAACAAGGAAGACTTCGCTCTGGTGAGCCAAATTATGTGTGTTGGTTGTTTTTTTATATAAGTAGATTGCTTATGATCCTGAAAAATATTCTGAAACACCATGAGCAAAATCCTCCTTCCCATCACATGCTACTGTGATATTTATCACATATTTAGTACATTTAAACCCACACGCTTCTTAGAAATTTAAAAGTAAGTGCACAGCTTGTGCTTGTTTCATGAGATTTAATGGGGATGTGAAAAGGAATGTTATGGGAAGAGGTCATAAATCAATAGGTCCATAAAAAGGACTGCAGCGCATAATGACATGATGGATCTTCTGCAAACATAACTGAACAAAAAAAAAGGTTTTAAATTACTGTATTTCCAGTTGTGTATGTTTAATTCATAATTCAGGTTTGGAAATAATTAAACATATATTCATGTTTAAATTGACTTTTGTAAAAAGAAATAAAAGAAAAAAGAAGATATGTACACTTCTCTGTTTTTGCCATCCTTGGTATGCTATATATTCCTCTTGTGATGTTGACGGAGTCTTACAGAGTTTCCAATGAGTCATTTCAATTCCCCATTTCCTGACTGAAAAGGGGAACGAGAAGCCACCAAAGATTTTGTTCTGATTATCCTCAACACGTCTACATTTAGATCAAAATATGTATCATCTCCTTGTGATCAGCTGAAGGAAAATTGTCGTTTCATTTACTCACTGATTCTGTTTCTGTGCACACTGTATACGATTTGATTATTCTGTAGAGACAACTAGATCAAGCGCCTACTGCTGTCATAGAAATCTTCTAAATACACTCCTTTGTTAGTCACTGGGTGAAACATCACATGTCTGAAAATATGTCTGTGCCCTCAAAGGCCACTGAGGTAATCCACTGTGGTAAACAGCAGAAAAAAACATGTAACTTAAAGCACTAAACATCATGCCACATTGAAACAAAGCAACGTGTACCCGTGACCTGTTGACACAGTTGTGAGCAGGTCCACCAAAGCTTGGTTTTGACGTCTCAGATTGTGTAATTTTAGAGACATTGGTTATTTGTCCAACTTGTGCTGTTTTTCTATGCAGATCACTGGAGTAAGGGGTGAAGATGGAGAAGTCGGAGATGTTTGGCTTCTCTCTGGAGGCAGACGACAGGACAGAGGAGGAGAAATCACGTAAGAAAGCGTCAAAGAATGACAGACTGACGCCCAAGGCGCCGATGGACACTGATTACCAGGAGGAAGTAGGCGACCCCAAGCCTCAAATCAGATTCAATCTCAACTTTGACAAGTGAGCCATTCCATACAAAGATAAATTGATCTCTGCTTTTTAATACTCATTATACTGCTGGTGCTGTGTTTTGTCAAGTCCCACAGTGTGGCCTAATGAGGAGTGTGAAGCTGCTTGACCTGACATGAATCTTTTTTTAACCCTGTTGTCTGTAAAATATTTGTTTGTTTATAGAGGGATTCGAGGTGAGGAGCAGCACAGCAGGAAGAGAGACAGCAAGACATTTAACATCGATAGGTTATTTGAAGCAGTGGCCAGCAGGGACGTCGAAAAGCTGAGCGAGCTGCATCAGTACCTGCACCAGAACATGAAGAAACTCTCCGACTCTTTGTGTGAGTGTGAGACACACACAATGCAACAACCGCACCAAACAGTAAACTCTTGACCTGAGCGTTAATTCCCTGAATGTGTGGTTACACCTGCAGATCAGTCCTATGGTAAAACTGCCCTGATGAAGGCTCTGCTCCACCTCAAAGATGGCAAGAACGACACAGTGGAACTATTAATTGACATTTCAGAGAAGATGGGAGACATTAAAGAGTTTGTCAATTCAGCCTACACCAACAGCTACTACAAAGGTAAACTGTGCACGAAGCAGAATTGCTATGAAAACAAACTTCTTGCTAAATTATTTGTGTCTTTCAGTCAGACAATGTGAAGAAATGTCACTGATTTGCTGGTACATATTGATGTGTGATCTGGCAGGCCAGACAGCTCTTCATATAGCCATTGAGAGGAGGAGTATTTTCTATGTGAAGCTGCTGGTCAGTAAAGGAGCAAATGTCCATGCCAAAGCCTGTGGAAAATTCTTCCAGCCACACGACGGCCCCAACTTCTACTTTGGTGAGTCCATGCTGCTGCAGGGAGGAGCTCCCTCCACTGGAGCTTCACAAAAACATCATCTGCTGACAAAATGAGTCACATACTTCCACATAGCATCTTAGTTGCTACAATTGTCTTTATGATAAAAGCAGTGCAGTCATTATTTCTGAGTCATAAGATGCAGAGTTTCTGAATAAATGCCGAAATTACCCGAATAATGTGGAAAGACTTTAGACTAGTAAAGTTATCTACATAACTCAGTTGGCTTGCTTCCTCTTGGAAAAAAAGGACCCATAGACATAGACAATACAAGTTCATAAAAAGCTCCACAGCACCACCAGTGGTCCCACATTCCCCAGCGTACCTTTAATTTTACTGTAAACATTCTCAAACATGAGTAATAGTGTTACATTTATTATCTAATATAGTCTTTCCACAAAAAAGCTAAATTCATAAAATTACATCTGCTCTTTTTTTCCTTTTGGGAGGTAAATACTTTTATATAATAATAATAATAATAATAATAATAATAATAATCTTTATTTGTAGAGCACTTTTCAAAAACAAGTTAGAAAGTGCTTTAACAGGTTAAGACAATAATACCAAAAAAACAATAATGCAGAAACAATACAAGATAAAAGCATGAAAACATTGAAAAGACTAAAATACACATTTAAGATAAATATAAAATAAGTAAACTAGAATAAAATAAAAGGGATAAAATAAAGACAAATAAGATCGGGAAAGGCTCTCCTATAAAAGTATGTTTTAAGAAGGGACTTAAAAGAGTTCACTGACTCAGCCGACCTGATTTCCTCGGGCTGTTCCAGAGCCTCGGGGCCCTGACAGCAAACGCTCTGTCCCCTTTAGTTTTCAGTCGAGACTCTGGAACAGACAGCAGACCTCTGCCCGAGGATCTCAAGGTACGTGCTGGTGTGTATGGGACTAAAAGTTCAGAAATATAACAAGGCGAGAGGCCATGAAGAGCTTTAAAAGTGATCAAAGTCAATTCTAAAACATACTGGGAGCCAGTGTAATGAAGCTAAAATAGGGGTAATGTGGTCATATTTCTTTGTTCTGGTTAAAAGCCTGGCAGCTGAGTTCTGGAAAGTCTGGAGTCGATCAATAGATTTTTGGATTAAACAAGTGAAAAGGCTGTTGCAATAATCCAGGCGTGATGAGATGAAGGCGTGTAAAATGGTCTCGGTGTCCTTAAAAGTTAACATAGATCGAATTTTTGCTATATTTCTAAGTTGATAAAACATGATTGAACAAGCTTTGTGGTGTGCTGCTCGAAATTTAAATTACTATCAAC